CAATTATCTACTGTGTGAACGTTGTTTAGGATCCTGTGGCCAAACTCCTCCATGGAAAAATGATGTGCAGAGACCTCGGACATCTAAGGGACCTCTTGTGGTAGTTCAGTACTTATTCCTAGCATAGGTGTGGACTTTGGGAGCCCATTCCACATACAGGAATACTCCCTGAGCCAAGACCCACGGGTGTGGGCCTAGGCACTATCCCAAAGGATACGATGGACTCTGATGACACCCTATGGAAGGCCTCACCCTCCCTGGGGAGCAGAAAGGATATGTGATAGGTAGGGTTTTAGTTGGGGGGGTTGGTAGAAAGGGAGAGGGAACTGGGATTGACATGTAAAACAATCTTGTTTCTAATTCAAATACAAAAAACAAATCTGAAAAAAAAAAAAAAAGAGTTGGCACAAGTGATAAGCAAGACAATGCCTTCAATGCCGAAAACCTTCTCTAACACTTTACTGTATCTTTATGACCACACACTTTTTAAATACATTTTTATTCAAATTAGAAACAATCTTGTTTTACATGTCAATCCCAGTTGCCTCTCTCTCCCCTCCTTCCCTACCCCCCCACCAACCCCCTAATCTCATCCCCTTTCTGCTCCCCAGGGAGGGTGAGGCCTTCCATGGAGATCTTCAAAGTCTGTATGACCATGCACTTTAAGCATCATCCCCTTTAGCTGTCTAGCAACTCCTATGAGAAGTTTAAAGTCTTTATGTCCTCGATTCTTCCTTACACAGAGCTAGGAAGTATCCAGCAGACTGTGTGACCAGCTCACTGTTTCTCTTGCCTTGGAAAGTCTTTACTTTTTTCCTACCTTGAAATGACTCACAATGAGAGGAAGTCTTTAAAAAAAAATTCTCAATTTTATTTCAACAAAACTAGAAAATAAAAACACAAACAACAAACAGAAGCAGTGGCTACACAAAACAGGATAGCATCGTAAAAGAGGAAGGAAGGACAGACATCTGGCTGCAGAAGTCAGACCATGTCAATAGCAACAGCCTACAACACGGGAGGTAAGGAGCTGGGTCTACATCCACGTTGACACCAGTAGAGACAAAGTATGGACCAGAGCAGCAAGAGCTCTTCCACACCAACTTGCTTGTGGAAAGCAAAGGTGACAAGGTTGTAAAACTTGCTGATGATGAGACAAAACCTTTCTTGTCAGACCCAGACAAAATTGGAGCCAAGAATTCATAGGAGAGCTCATGCCTGCCTATCTGAGATAGCACTGTCTCAAGGACTTTAAAAGCCACAAGAAGTTCCTTCACAGTCTACTTGCACGCCTTGCAGATTCTGTAACAAACTTTATCTTTAACATTCTTTGAGACAGAAGCAAGCCAGGTAAGATATTCTGACAAAGCAGGTATTCAGAGGTGGTACTATCACCAAGCACCTGGCGCTAACTCTGGCATCCAGGCTCTAAAATCACAGATGTGTATCCAGAAGCCTGGATATGAGCACCTCACTTATTCTCACTAAAACTGTCCTCTTGCCACAACCTCCTCGGTGCACACGTGTAATCTCATTACAGTGCCACACCCAATTAAATTAATTAACCTGTGGGAAATCTCTTATATAAGGTTAGGTTTTCTTTCTTTCCTTCAATCCTCCCTAACCCTCCGTCCTTCCTTCTTTTTTTTTGAAACAGGCTAGTAAGGTAGCTTAGTGAAAATCAGCAAGCCTGACTACTTGAGTTGGATTCCTTGAAACCACTTGATAGAAGGAGAGAACCAACTACTGCAAGATGCCTTCTGATCTCCAGACCCCTGCTATGCAACAAGCACACATGAACACACACACACACACACACACACACACACACACACACACGTGCATTCACGTGCACATAAACTCATGCATGCACATACACTCGAAAGAAAAGCACACACACACACAGACACACATACACACTTTAGAGAAAAGTACACACAGACACACACTAGAGTAAAGCACACACACTTACCAGATCTACAGTGATAAAAGTCATGTCTCCATGGCAACAGAAAAACACTTTTTGGCAAACCCTTAAATCATGTATGCAGTTAAATATTCTTTACTCTTTTCATCTGCTCTTTGATGGTTTATCTACTATTTCCCTTTCCTGAATGTTTTTCTTATTTCAGTTCCTTTATATTTGAACTAGCTTGGGTTGGCTCTCGGTGATCTCTCACCATGAAGGCAGATTGAGTGTATGTTAAACTGAGTATTTGTCATCACATCTCAGCATAGCAGGCATTTCCTTTAGGAACCAAGGTTTTGAATGGGAATTTTAGGTGTATTTCTCTAATACCAATTAAAAGACACTACCAGGATATTTGAAATGCAAAAAGTTGATACTAAAAGTTCATAGCATAAATAAAAGTAGGAGAAAATAAATTAGGACAAATATTCAGGAAAGAGTTTAAAACAAGGACTACTAGAAATATCTTTGCAATCTCAATGAAATTTGCTGTTTTAGTTACAAAGATAAGGAGTGTGGTGCTGATATCCACTGACAAAGAAGAAAAATCAGTTTTCTCCAGTGGAGTTTCACTGGGCATCAACCATACTCCAGAGCAGGTCCATGCCCACACCATATGGTGTGTGTGTTGTGAGTGTGTGGGGGGGAGAGGGTTGCTTTTTTTCTTTTTCTTCCTGGTTTTTGTATTTGTTTTGATTTTTATTTGTTTTATGGGTATGTCGTGTGTGTGTGTGTGTGTGTGTGTGTGTGTGTGTGCGCGCGCGCGCGCGCATGCACGCCCGCGCACAGAGAGAGACAGAGACAGAGACAGAGAGAAAGAAGAGAGTCACATCACGTGAAAGCCCCCTGAAGGGAAATACAATGATTCAAAATCCTCCAAAACTTTTCGAACTGCACCATGCAGACGTCCAGAGCAGCGCCTCGGGCCTCTGTTTCAATACGCATGGAGTCGGATTTTTCTCATGCCACCTTAAAGCATGACTCAGGCAGTTGGTTGACATATCATTATCACGTTTGCAAATTAAACAGCCACCGAATCTATGAATGCTCATCACACAGTTAATTATTCTTGAACTTTTCTCTGCCCTCAAAACAGATTCTATGTATTTAATGGTCCCTCGGGGAGCACCAGGTGCTTTTGTCGCGCAGCAGGGCCAGTTGTGTAAAACCTCTGCATCTGTCAGGTTCTCTATGTGGCACATAATTGCCTGATTTCCATTTGAAAGTGCAGCTCTGACATTGAAGCCGCAGAGACCCGCCATGGCTAACAATGGCTTCCTGACACCTACAAGAGGGATGGGAGTGGACAGAATAAGCATGTTCCCCAAATGAACATTTGCCTTCGTAGGGGCCATGTCTGAATTTACAGCTGCAGATGAAGTGCTCCTGGGGAAGAAACCAAAAAGAATAAAGAAAAAGAAAGCTACAGATTAAGCATGAGTCTGTCGAAGCCAGATGGTCCTCTGCAGAGAGCAAGCTCCTATGCTTGCTTTCTTAGTCTCCAGGCTAGTGCATACACCCACTCTCTGGGGACGACATGACCTCACCCCTCTGCCAGGCAAACAGCGAGTTGCTCTTTTTCGTTCTCGCACAACTTGAGCTGAAGGAAAGTTGGAAGTGAAAGAAAGACACTAAGAAGGGACAGGGGAGAGCCAGACATCTGTGAAGAATGAATAAGTCTTAGCCCAGGAGACGGATAAGACACCAAGCCTGAATGGAGCATCATCAGGAATTGGCATCAACTGGGCACAGAGGGTTGTGGAGGAGAAAGCAGCAGACAAGGGCCCCAGCAGACTACCCTCTCCTCCTCGGTGCCCGAGAACTCTGCCTCCACCATCCAGGATTGCAATAGTATGTGGGACAGCAGGAGCAGGAGTGGTGTGGCTCTTAGAAGCCCAGGTTTGAGCTCTGCGCCCCTGAGACAGGGCAGTAGCGAGTGTATTCAACTTCTTATTTAGGAAACTGTCCCCTCCCTCTGTGGCTAGAGGCCAATGAGTCTGTCAGTCATCAGTCTGAGGACCAGCCATCTGCCACCATCTGGATAGGCCATGCCTGGGACAGGTGCCCTGAAGTGGAAAAAGCTAAGAGGAACTGGACCAAGGCAGGATTATGGGGTAAAATGAGCCTGCCAAGCTGTAGCTGTAGAGGGCTGGTCCCTGGAATGTCCTGCTCTGGGAAAGGCTCTACCTAGTGTCATGCTGTCCCCCAAGCAAACATTCACTGTTTATGAGCAAGTCTTTTATTGGAGGGACAGCCCAGGTCTGCTGGTAGCCATGAGGTAGACCACCAGATACTTCATGGGAACACAGCATGCACAGGTACGTGCCAGGGTGTAGACATTCCATGAGCTAATTGGTTCAGTAAGAGTTCATACACTGTTCCTGGGCTCTGGGGCCTCAATTCACAGATGATTCCAGACCAAATAAATGTGCATTTGAGGTATGACGGGCCCTGTGAGCATTTTATCAGCCTGGCATAGCTTCTCGAGTGTGTCGGTTTGGATGAGAATGGCCCTCCGTCCCCATGTGATGGTGATGGTCTCTTACCTCTCTGGTGCCCTAAGCCCCAAACAAACCCTCCCTTCTGCAAGTCACCTTGGTCATGGTGTTTTAGCAAAGCAATAGGAAAGTAGCAGTGTTTAATAGAACAAATGGCAGCTCTAGGGTGATATATGGAGAGTATGGAAAGGAAAATGGCTTCCTTTTATCCCACAGTGCAGTCCAGCTGTCTTTGTGGGTAACTTATAAACTTCAGAGTCTGGGTCTCTTTACTCCAACTTCTCTTCTTTTGTCCTCCCACTACCAGTTAAGTGGCATACTGGAGCCCAAGGTCAGGGTGTCCTGTGAAATTGGACCCTAGGGCACCTGTCCAGAAGCAAGGATTGGGAAGCTATGGAGCTAAAAGCAAGCAAACAGAAAGAGACCCACAGGCAAAGTCACCATGTAGAACAAATACAGCCCAAGTTAGTTGAAGGCTGGCAATGATCCATGACTACAAAGCATTTTCGAAACCTCACAGGCTTGTGCTTGATTTCTATCCTTTTATTCTCAAAGGGATGCTGAAAAAGATATGCAATTGAAAACAATTTGAACTTCCAAATTATCCTAAGTTAACTGTCCTTGCTGCCATTGATTAAAAGAAATGAATCCCATGGGTTCACTTTTTCTCTTGATTACAATACAACACAGAAGACAGATGGTACAGGGTCACTAGCATGGAAACTTGTCTTGGTTGGATCTGGTGATGGCTGGCCATTGATGACATCCGTGGAGTCTTGTCCTGCCACAGGGCTCCCAGCAGGTGTGGCTTCATCAGAAACTGAAACAAGACAGAAGTGTCAGTGGATAAAGCTTCGGGCTGCTTTCTCTGCAAGGGTGCCCTGTTGGAGCCAGGTTCCTGGAAACACAATGTGGCCACTCCTTACAATAAGATCTTCCCAGTTGCAAAGACACACCCACACCCCCCACTCCTCTCTGTAGTTTTGTTCTGCTATGCTGTACTACAATGTCACCACAAATCTCTACCTCTGCACAACTCACATGCCTTTGTTAGCATGTCACTGTCTATGTGCCCTGAACAGCAAGGCCACAGGAGATGAGGTTTAGACCTGGTGCCATGCACTGGAGTGTGTGGCACTGCTTGCCTGTGACTGCCATGTTACTTACTCTCTGGGTCTCATGATTCCTCATCTCTAAAATGGGAGAAACTAATAATTAAAGTAAATTGATGACTTATATCAAGTGATTAACGCAATGCCCCACATGGAGAGAAAAATCCTAATAGCCAATTTGTCTACCTGTGGGAGGCCAGAGAGCAGGTTCAGCAACACAGCTGCCTCTGGGATGTGAGCCAGGAGAGGAAGAGGGAGTGGGGTTAGAGAACTCTGGCTATTGGATGCTAGCTGGCAGAGGCTGTCCTTACCCCGCTGCCTGCCCACCCTGCAGCATCTGAGAATTTGGTCACATGTCATGTCCATTTTCTTCCCTATGGTAATCATTGTTCCAGACACACTTAAGTTTAGAAAGGCTCCTGTGTTGGATAGAGGCTCACATATATCTAGAATCCTTGAAAGCAGTCAATCAAATCTGCTCTCCCTCCCCAAATTCGTGAGTCGGCTTCTGTGGCGCAGGGTGGGGCTGGTAGTGCCTCAGGGTCCTCCACAAATCTGCCTCATGATCAGTTTCTCTTTAAGATCTGAAGAGCATTAGGCAGTTTCCTGCAGGACCAGACTATCACAAGCCCTGTTTGATAAAGTATTTACTGACTACGAGGTGAGTGGGGCTTCTGGACCTGTCTCCAGTCTTGTGTCCTCAGACCCAGAAGCAAAGAAGGAGATCTGGACAGGCAGAGCCGGCCTGGGGCAACTCAAGTAGACAAGTTGTGTGCAGAATTTAAAATGGGTCTAAAAGGAACAAGGAATCAAGGTCCATAGAACTCTCAAATGTACACATTTTTTTTCAAATATGGTATTCTTATAGAGCGTGGTCCAAGTGGAGTGGCTAAGTATAGATTCCACTAGTTAAGGGTTCGTCTGACAATCTATCCTTTCCCCTCTCTGCCATCACTCATCATACCTAAAAGCAAATACTGAATCGTGTCCAGCCAGCCACTGTTATCTATTCAAGTATTAGGGTTGTTTTTTCTTTTGTTTTGCTAATTGTAATCTTCTTAAAAATCCTTTATTTTTTCATTTTTAATTATGGAGTTTATTACACTACTAGGTTTCTTGGAAATCTGATAATTATTATAATTTTAAAAGTGATTAAATTTCTCAGAGATGGACTGTGCACATTGAATTAGAGAGTGTGTCTCAAAGGGTTTGGATTCACTTTTATGCTAGTATCACAAAGCAGAAATGCAGAACACAAACTCAGTGTTTTGTCTGTTTGTTTTCTATTGAAAATGCTTGGGGTTTAGAAGATGGCTCAGTGGGGGAACGTTGCTTAAGTGTAAGGACTAGAATTCAAATCCCCACAAGCCACATAGAAGTCTTATAGGAGGTGGAGACAGAGGATCTTTGAGACACCTAGCTTCACATTTCATGAGAGATCCTACCTCAGTTTATAAAGATAAAGACATCTGATGCCAGCCTCAGCCTACAAACACACACAAACACACACACACACACACACACACACACACACACACACACACACACACACACAGGTGAACACACGTACACAGGCAAGCATACCACACACATATACATTTAAAGCCAAAACATACCTGGCTACCTGTCTCCAGGTTCTCTGCCACTATCAGCACTAAATAGTAACTGAATTCTGTCAACCAAAGCCGTCTGGACCTCATCTGCATTCTGCTGTCTTCTAAATTCACAGATGCATAATGCTGCAAGAGAGCCTAGAAGATGACTCAGTCAGCAAGGAGCTTGCCAATCCCCAGCATCCACATAAAAGACTGCCAAGGAGGCATACACCTGTAACCCCAAAACTGGACGGGGATTAGGCGGGGAGGAAGGGGAGAGAGGCAGATTCACTAGCCACCCAGTGAACTCCAGGTTCAGTGAGAGACCTTTTCTCAAAAAATAAGGGGGGAACTTCAGCCTTTGGCTTCCACTAACACACACACACACACACACACACACACACACACACACACACACACACACACACGAGAGCACAAACACACACACATGCATATGTGTTCGAACGCACAACATAACATTCTGATTAGTTACCTTTCCTGATTCATTATAAGGTTTGTCTTCTATGGATTAATTGTATCCACACACCTGAGATAAACTAAAGAAAAACCTAAATTGAATGAACTTAATCTTTCCTGAAGATTTTAGAGGAAACCTCATGATTTTTAAAAACGTCAAGGTCACTGAAGTTATACTGTAGATATGCAGAGACACATGACCACTGGGACTTCCTTTTGCTAGTATAGAAATGTGAGCTTGGGTATGTAACCACACAAGTCATATGGGAATTAAGGTGCCCTGTCAAGCACGCTGTCCTTCGGTTGAATTTCCATACTTAATTTTAAAATCTATTGCAGGGGCTGAAGAGATGGCTCAGCAGTTAAGAGCAACATGTGTCTTTCCAGAGGAGCACGCGTCAATTCCCAGAACCCATATGGCAGTTCACGTCACTCTAACTCCACTCCCAGGGGACCTGACATCCTATTACAGCCTCCATAGGCACTGTACACGCATGGTGCACAAACATACATGCAGGCAAAATACCTATACACATAAAATATAAAATGAAAACTGAGTAAAAAAATTATTGCAAGCTCTAAAGCAAAGTACAAAGCAGTAAAAGATACATATATGTGTGTATGTAATGCTCCCATTTTCTAAGAGAAAGCATACACACATATACCTTTATGCACACAACTCTGAGAAGATGCACCCCCCACCCCAATTTTTAAAACAATAGTCTCTCTCTGGGTGATGAATCTCAGGGGAGTTCTTTTTTTCTTTTGGTTTATGAAATTTTCTGGTTTAAAAAATAGGTGTCTCTTCTCAAATATGAACTAATAAAGAAATAATCTTTGGTTAGACAAACCACATAACCCAATACTAGAAGCAGCACAAAAACATTTGGAAATAAACTGACAGAAATGGCAACGATGGCTATAGATGATGCACTCCCATTGGACAGACATCCGTTGTGTAGTTGTGTGCATTATACTGCCAGTTGTGGGGGGTTCGGTGTGGTGCTGTAGTGTCTGCAAGGACAATAGCATTGATTTGGGGGAAATGCTGTTGCCTTGGGGAATAGAAGTTGGATTTGGACCACTGCTAGGTATTGGGGGCAGGGCTCTGAGAGTGCCCTACCACTTAGACAGATAATAAAACATGGAAGGTCTCACTTGGCTTCAACCTTGACCCTCTGCAAGCCTTTTCCCACTTCAGCCTGACCCTAACAGAAGCTTTGCCCATTCTGGTAGTCAGCATGAGGCATATAGCTGGCTGAACTCCTGGACCTCTGTCTAATTTGCCCAGTGAGTTATTAACCGGCTTTGGCAGAAGGATAGGTGACAGGCTATTTGCCTTCTGGTTCATTTTCCACTCTGGATTGTTCTTTCCTGGCTCTGAACCTCAAGGGGGTTGGATTGCACACACCTTAGAGCTACCTGAAAATCGTCCACCACCACCCTCCTTAGCACCCCCCACCTTCCAAATCAGCATGTGTGTACCATGGAAACGTGAAGAAAGAAATGGTCTTGGGAAGAATAATAGTCATACAGTCCTGTCTTCCATAACTGGCTTTGAGAATCTAACTGTAAGCAGATGGCAATGATCACTAGGAAAAAATGCCCAGGCCCCCGAGGTTACCATGTCCCTTATGAATCCTAGATGTCTCCTGAGAGCTCCAAGATTTTCAGAGGCCTTAACACTGTACTTCATAGACCTTGAAGCAACCCAAGAGACAGAAATGCCTTGACCTAGAGCCTAAGAGAGGGTTTATGGCAGGCAATTCAAGACTGCTGGGAGGGAAGAGACCATGTAAGGGCAGTGTGTGAAAAAAGAAGAGATGGATCCCATTAGGGGACCCTGCACAGGGATGTGTTCTCTATCTGCTTGATGCTACCTAACCAAGGGGCTCAGGGAGGAAGCTGGTCTTTGCCCAGAGGAAGTGATGTGCCCGAAGAGCCTGCCAGCAGAGAGAGCTAGAAAGGAAACTTTTTAATCAATATCGAAAGGCAGTTGCTTACATACCTAAGTAAACATACCCCAGTTTCTTTCAGGAAAGCACTAGGGGCCTCTGCAGATGAGTGGCACAGACCTGTGCAGAGTTTAAGCTGGGCCATCCCCCGGAAGGCTTCTGCCCTGCCCTTGTGCCTCCCACCATGACACAGCCTCACACCCCCTGTTCCATTCACTTCACTCTATTCAAACACAACAACAAAGAAGAAAGGCAAAAATATTCTCTGTACTATGAGAACGGCATGATGAAAGGGGAGGGCAATGTTGGTGGGAAGGCACAGAGCCTAAAAATGGGGCCCCAAACAACTACTAGTGTTGGTCCCAGTGATTTAAGCCGGGATTTTTTTTTTTGTAGTTTTTGTTTGTTTGTTTGTTTGTTTGTTTTGTTAGACCCTTCCATCTCAGTGTCTCCTCCTAGAAAACAGTCTAAACCAAGCTCTTCTCCCAGGGATGCTCAACTGAACTGCAGCCAGCATGGGAAGCACTCAGAGTAATTTCCTAGCATAGAAGCATCTATGGGAAAACTCTTCTCTTGGATAGACAAGCACCATGGAAACTGATGCAGGTGAGACCTTGCCCCAGGATGTGAGTGTCCAGAGAAAGATTGCTGAGCTGGTCATTGTAGGTTTCCATTGCCTGGATGGTAGCAGCATCCTGGAGGGTGGGATGCTACCTGTCTGACCCAAGGACCACGTTAGACACCTTTGAAGAGCTCAGTGAGGAACACCTGACACTGAGGACAAGTCTTGTGACTTTGCTTACCCTTCTGATGGGTGAGAGCTGTAGATCGTCCCATGATTTCATCCTTGGTGGCATTCAGGTTCTGGATCAGAAAGTATGTGGTCATTTTTCCTTTCCCTTTCACTTCAATCTCACCTCTCTTGACAATTTCAAATCCTTTGTTTTCCAGGGCTCTATATAGAGGAAAACCAAAAGTGCCAAATATCAAGACAAGTCCTGGACCCACAGCAGAGGAGGGAGGATCTGGAGTGACATCGAGAGCCCATTAGGAGGACTTGGGGAGGGACTCAATGGGGAAGGAGGGAGGCATGATGGACCATTGTTCCGAGTGGGCTGGGAGTGGCCATAGGGGACCCCCACACCTTGCTTCTACCCCTACTGCTTGGTCTTTATTCCCTAGCACCCTAGTTTTGTCTAAATCCTTGTTCAAGATTCAGCTCGGGCATCTCCATAAAGCTTTCCTTTCTGAATATGGACCCCTCTCAACCTCCCATATCCCACAGTCTGATTCTACTGGTAGGAGGGTAGAATGGTTACTGTGGGAGTCTGAACCTCACACAGTTCTTCCTGGCCTTCTCAGAGCTGAGGCAAGACTCAATATCAGATTTTTTCCTTTGTTCTTCTTTTATTGAAAATATTTTTTCTACAATATATTCTAATCAAGTGTTCTCCTCCCTCATCTCCTACAAAATCCTCCCCACCCATCCAACTCTATGACTTCTCTCTTTCTTTAGAAAACAGGAAAATTAAAAACAACAACAAACCAACAGCAAAACCTCACTGGAATTTTTAAAATTGGGTTTCATGTAAATAAGAGTGGCAGTGGCTTTTTATTCATGGAGCAGTTTAACAGCGAAAGAGCTAACCAATATGAAGGAACCCAACCTGAGTGGGGCCTTTCCTAACCACTCGGGAAATAGTGCCGTTTTGGTGGGCATCTTTATATTTGTTCTACTTCAAAACCAACTATGAATTCTCTTTCTTCCTTTACTAGAGCAAGCCAACAAGATTTTTCTGTGAAAGATCAGGGAGAGGATGTTCCAGGCATTGTGAGCCACAGTCTCTGCTGTCATGATTGCCTGACTCTGCCACTCACAGAGACATCAGCTATACATAATGTGTAAATAAAAGTGTGTGCCTGATGTCATAGGGACTTCACTGCTGAATTCTAGCTTCTGTTTTGGGTACCACAAACAAAATTTTTTTTCTTCTAAGTCTCACAGTCTTGTCCCAATAAAACTATTTGGAAAAACAAGTGACGGATTGGATTTGGCCTGGGGGTTACAGGAAAAGACAAATTATGGTAGAAGCCCCACACTATTTACTGACTGTAAGTCAGTAAAGCACAGGGGAAGAAACAAAAGCTTCTTTTCCTGTCCTTCCCCAAGCTGCTGGGCAGTAAGATAGCTTAGGGAAGCTGGAAGGACAACGAAGATAGGGGTAAACGGATGGCCAACCTGTAGGCTGTGGGGCTCAGATGTACTTTGTCGGGAAGCCCGTGACTTTCCATCCTTGAGGCTGTGTTTACAGTGTCACCAAACAGGCAGTACCGGGGCATCTTGTCTCCCACAACTCCTGCTAAGACTGGTCCAGTGTGGATTCCCACTCTAATCTGTACAGAGAGAATGTCACTGAAAAGAGGATATTGACTATTCTTGCCTTTGCTTTAAAGGCCTGGTTTAGCTAAAATGAAAATATGCCTATTAAAGTAGTTTGCTCTGTGAGGCTTGACAAGTGCACATGTCACTGTGACCACCATCACAAATGAAATGTAGAATAGCCCATTACTCTGCAAACTTATCTTGTGCCCTTTTCTAGTTAATTTCCCCCAACCTGCAGCATGGAGGGTTACAGCATTGCTTTCTGGGGGAGACAGGAAAATCCCAAGTGTGAGAAAGCTAAAGCAGCATAAAAAGATGGTGAACCTCAAGAAGTGCTGAGGTTCAAAAGGCACCCCCCACACAAAGGTGGTAAACTCTGCAGGGAAGGGAAACTGTTTTTGCAGGAGCTGCCTGGGGTCGGATTCTGGAAGGTGGCCCCCATGAGCTGTCACTAATGCAGAGCTGGGCTTCTTAGTGCTCCAGCTGCATTTGAGGACCCTGTAAGTAACCCCAGTAATCTCACTGGTTCACGAAGCTCATCTTAGACTCAGTTGTTTATTTGGTTTGTTGCTGGTGCCCCACATGAGATGAATATTTAATCAAGCCTCTTAGGAAAGGTTCCACAACCTCACCCTCTGTCCAGAAGAGATTATTGATTTCTTCCTTATAGCAAATATTAATTTGCCCTTCTAGGACATCACATGAATGAAATCAGAATGCTTGTTTCATTCATACAATGTATTGTTTTCAGATTCCTTCACAGTGTCCTGTATATCCATAGTCATAATTTTTATTGCCCTAGGAAGAATGCATCATGATTCATTCATCCATTCTCCTCTTTGTGGGTGCTTAGGTTATTCCCAGTTTAGAGCTATGATAAGTATGGCAGCTATAAACAGTATGTAAAGACACATTTGTGAACATGTTTTCATTCCTTCCAGGTAAAATACCTAAAGGTGTAAGTGCTACCTTGTGTTATCAAATAAATACATCTTTAATTTTTACCAAACCCAAACTTCCCCAAATTGTCCAAGGTTGATTCTCCAGTGCCCCATTCATATCAGTAATGGTACACGCCTCAGTAGAGCTCTGAGCTATCAGGAACATGCTGGGCATTCATTTCCCCAAGCAGGACTCTCTGGTTGCTCAGTTAAGCCAAGCCACCTGCAGTGATGCCTGAACAAAAAAGCCGGAATCATGAATGAGGTACACTCAGCACTGTCCTATTACAAAGAAGAGGAGTATCCAGGAGTCACAGGGAAATCTCAAGAGCAAACAGCCTGCTCTGGAGCCCAAGAAAGCTGAGTCTTCTTCATAGCTTTCCTGCCATGGAGCATAAACATTGATGGATGATGCAATGTACATGGTGTAGCATAGCCCAAACCTGACCCAAGCTGACTAAAGCTTTACACTTGGGTGTTATATTTGGTCTCAAGAGAAGCGCTGCTTTGTTCCCTCCCTACCTGGATGGGCTCTCCAGTGACAGGATTCATCACTTCTTCTGCAGAAATTCTCATCCCCAAGGCAAAATTAGCAACTCTCTGGGCATGGCTCTCAACAGGCACTGGTATTCCGCCTACCACCATGTAAGCGTCACCTATTGTTTCCACCTGCCAGGGGAAAAAAGAAAAAGAAAAAAAAAAGTGTTTTGAGTTTCCTTCAACCAAACACCTACATATGCCTGCCGTTTTCCATACTTTGACAACAAGAGCTTTTAAAGCTACTGATTCTTTGCTGAGAAAATGAGAGCAGGAAGGAACATAAAAAAATGAACACAAGACAACCAAGAGGTCTTTCTGATTTTGTTTTGTTTTTCTTTTGGTATCAGGGATGGAACTCAGGGTCTCACATAGCTAGGCAAACACCTTATCTCTGAGCCATACCCCTAGCCTCCTTTCTGCTTTTAGTGAAAATGAGTCCCAGAGAAGTTGAAGTTACTGGGTAGCCATATGATGTCCTGTATTAGATAACGAAATATGTGACTGAAACACTGCTGAGCAGGAGACTGATGCCTGGGGAAGTGGTAATTGCTGCTCCTGGGTACCAAAGCACCATCTGAGCATGGGTATTCTAAAAGGATTCCTAAGCACTTCTCATTCCCTGTGAACCTCTCCTTTTCAGACTGGTGCAGATGCAGTAAAGGAAGACAGGTTCAAGTACTTTCTTCCTGGCCTGATTCCAGAAGCAGGCCACACACCCCCAACACACACACACACTTACTTTGTAGACCTCGTGAACATTGGTTAGCCTGTCAAACTTGGAGTACATGGCATTGAGCATATTCACTATTTGGATAGGTTCACAGGCGGCACAGATGTTGGTAAATGTCACCACATCACTGAAAAGGATTGTACACGTTTCAAATTCTCCTGCAACAGAAATGATGTCAGTAGTCACCAAGGATACCAAATCATAATTCTATGAATTTTTAATCCGGTGCCTTTTGAAGACCAAGGCTGCCTGCATGCTGGGGGAAAGGCGCTGATGTCATCCACTGCTCCTCATCTAGTAAGCAGATATGAGTGCATACGTTGAGTCCCTGCTGTGAGATAGTCATCATTCCACAGGAATCATATTGCATGAAATATGCAGCAGGAGCTCCGGGCCTTAAGCAGCTCCCCAGCTAGCGGCGGGGGCGGGAGTGAGCAAGCAAATGCTTACTCATTGAGAAGTGGCAAGTGCTGTGGGTTGAGCGAAACGGTTCCTTTGGTCCAAAAGCAAAACCTGAACTACAGAAACGCCAGCATAGGTTCTGGAAGAGTCTGTCCTGGTAGAATGGCATAGCTCCCACATTCTCCTATTTCTTTCCCTCTTCTACCATGGTCCCCAATTACACTGATTTCTACATGGCAGACAACAGTCTTGCAAATACTCACTTTTTAATCTTTAGCTTACCCTACAAATGGGACCCTGCTCTGTCCATGCCTCCTCTGACCTTTTGTCTCCAGGACTCCCTTTGGCATGCTCTAATCCAGCCATGCTGTCTTTCTTGGGGTTACTCCAGCCTCCTGCCTCAGAGCCTGCACACCTGCTGTCTCTCCGCCTGATGCACTTTTCATTTCAGTAAGAACGAAGGTGGGAGACTATCAGTACTGATATCTGCTGCATGCTAACATATAGAACAGGCCTTGGCACGGGCAGATTCTTAGTAAATGTATATTGACTAAGTGAGTGCTGAAACCTGGGACATAGTGGGGTGCCTCCTGGACTGTTTATCCGTCTGGCACTGACCTCCCTTCTTGTGACTCTACCATCTGTGCTTCCGGTATCAGCCTTGTTTATATTTTAATTTTTTTCTTGTTCATTATGGCCATTTCTTACATTGAAAGTAAGTTTTTTCATACAATACACACTGATCACAGTTTCCCCTCCCTCGTCTCCTCCCAGATCCTTCCCACCCCCATCCAACTCCACGCCTTCTTTAGAACACAAATGAAAAGCAAATGAACCAGAATAAAACAAAACAAACAAACTTATTTTAAAAAACAAAGAAAAAGCCCAGGAAACATACACAGTGACACAGTCATACACTCATAAAAACACAAAATTAGAAACCATATTATATAAGCAAAAGACCAATAGGGTTAAAAACAAAAAAGTCCAAAGAAAGCAACGTGAGACAAAACAACTCTAAAAATAGCACTGAGTTCATTTTGCTTTATGTCTTTGTCTGGTTTACTCATTCTTAAATGTTAGTTATTCCCTATCATCTTCTCCTCTTACCTTATAGTCTTGGTTTGCTTCCCTTTTGCTGTCATGAAACACCAACTAAAACCAATGTGGGAAGAAAAGGGTTGTTTCCTCTTACAATTCCCAGTTAGCCATCTATCACTGAGGAAAGGTGGGCAGGAACTGAAGCAGAGACCATGGATGAACACTGTTTACCTGCTTGCCTCCAGATTCACTTCCAAGCAAACTTTCTGACACAACCTAGGGCCACATGTTCAGAGGTGGCACCACCCACAGTGAGCTAGGCCACCCTCCATCAACCAAGAAATAACACCTCAGGCACGCTACAAGCCAATCTGATGGAAACAATTCCTCAGCTGAGGTTCTTTCATCCCAGGTGACTCTGGCTTATGTCAACCTTGACAAAAACTAACCAGATAATCCTACATCATACACAGAGCCTATGATTAGCTATCACCCACAGTTCAACAGATTCTAGACCTGTATAGTTCTATGCTAGCACTCTTCCCTTCAGGTCTGCCTACAAGTCCTGCAGATATCTGACGCTCTCAACATTTCTAAACTGACATGATGACTGCCATTGCCTCAGGCCCTGATCTTCTTTCTGGTGTGTGTGTGTGTGTGTGTGTGTGTGTGTGGGGTGTGTTTATTGCTCTTCTTGGTGTGTGTGTGTGTGTGTGTGTGTGTGTGTGTGTGTGTGTGTGTGTTGCATATGTGTGAGAGTTCAGCTGCTGTGTGATGGGCTCCAAGCCTTCCCTCCTCTTCTTCACTGCATCACAACCAAACTGGCATATGTTAAACTGGTCATGCCACCTCTGCTATAAGGAAAATGCATTTGGGAGTAGGGAGATAGCTAGGAGGAGATGGCTGAGAGACTGATTACTGTGAGGGCATAGGGACCCAAGTTCAAACCCAACACCCACATAAAAAAAACATAAACAGCTGTCCAAATACCTGAGTGTGGTGAGGGGTAGATACTAGAAGATTTCTGAGGCATGCTGGCCTCTAGCATAGCTCTAGTATCAGCGAGAGGCCATGTCTCAAAGGAATAAGATGGAAAGAACTAGAAAGAGACAGTGATCTCTGACCTCCATGTATACAGACACATGTACCACCATGCACACATGCCCATCCACCACACACACACACACACACACACACACACACACTTCAGACAATCCTCACTCTGTATAAAATAACAAACACTTTCATTTTCTATAAGAACCCAGAATCATCACTACCCCCAGAGCCTCCTTATCCTTCTCCTGCTCTGGAAATAATCCACAGTCCACTCGGTTATTTTTATTATCTTCAGTATAGAGAAGAGAAATGAAAGAGATGAGGGTTAACCACTTAGCCCAAGGTGACACCACTTCTAAATGATAAAGCCGTAAATCAAGCTCCAAGCCCAGATCTGCCTAGGTTCAAAGTCCACACCCCTTAGCATGAGCGTGATCCTCCCTATACTCCAAGGTCACTGTAGAAAGAAGGGTACCTTACCTGCAGCCACCTTTTTGCCCTCCTTGAGCTGGTTGGCCACGTGTTCAGGCAGCATGGCATACAGCAAAGTCTCTGTCTTCTTCTTTTCGATGGCCAGGTGCTTGGAGAGGATGCGCAACTCCTCCTTCTTCATCTCCAGCTGGCGGGACAGCTCCATCTCTGCCAGCCTCTGCTGGTTGAGGAGGATGAGATCCCTGGTGGTATCGTGGGGAGCGATGTCAGAAAGATGCAGCTTGCTCTCTTCCAGCTCTTGCAGGCTGCGGAGCTTTGGAGAACACATGAAGATCATGCACTGCAGAGAGTCCATCCAGATCATCTGGCCTGTCCATCACAGGGAGGGATGTGATTACATAGAACGTCCAACATGGAACAAGAGGCAAGCATCACCACATGCCCTTTGGCCTCTGCACAGCCTGCTCTCTTCTTCTCAGCCATGTGTCATAAGAAGCATCTATATTGCTGTCTCCACTCACTCATCTGCCACTCTGTGCACAGCGACTCTTCTGTGTCTGTGGTTCTGTCTGAGCTTGAGGTGCCAACACCAGCTGCTACGTCTTCTCTTTTCTTTGTTCTTCTACTGTCTTAGGTGTCAACCTAACCTTCCCATGGGAAATGTTGCTTCCTGAGGCTTTCTACCACTGATTTCTCTCTGGACTTGCCCTACTTATTTGAAGTTTTTCTTTGGTCTGTGTCCACCTTCTCCCCTTTTCTTACTTTCTTAACTGTTGTGTTGTCTAAGACTTTGAGTTCAGGTTCTCTCTCTGTGTCTGTCTCAGTCTCTCTATCTTCCCTCTCCCTCTCTCTCTCTCTCTGCCTCTCTCTCTCTGTCTCACTGTCTCTCTCTCTCTCTCTCTCTCTGTGTGTGTGTGTGTATGTTTATTTCTTTAAATTTTTTTATTTGCATGTAGGTATGTGTGTTTGTGTTCCCAACTTGAGTGTTGATGTGTTAGATGCCCTGGAACTAGAGCTACAGCCAGTTGTGGACCATCTGATGTGTGTACTGGGAACTGAACTCAGGTCCTCTGTAAGACAAAGTGCTCTTAGCCTCTGAGTTATCCCTCCAGCCCATTTATTTATTTATTTATTTATTTATTTATTTATTATGTCAGGATATCACTCTGTAGCCTAGGCTGGTCTTTCACTCATGGCAATCCCCCTGTCTCAACCTCCCAAGTGCTTGTATTATAGATATGAGCCACCACACATGTCTGGGTTTTTTCTTTTAACATTATCCAGCTGTGTCCTATACCACAATGACAATAAATCTGAGTCTCCTAAGAGATCTTGTTTCCCAGGCTCAAACTGTGTGTTTCTTCAAGAATATATATGATTATTAATGTATCATAAAAGCAGTGCCCATTCATTAGAGAAAAGGAAAAAGCATAAGAGAAGAGTGAATGTCATCTATAATAATCATATTGCAGATACATATTGATTCTTAATAATCTGTATTACTCAAAGAGGGACTATAAGCACAAGAAAATAGTGAAAATCATTGAAAATAATACTTCAGACATATAATGACTCTTAATATTCTGTATTCCCCAAAGAAGGACTATCTGGTATCAATTTGCAATTTGAATTTCTCAAATAAAATATATTTCCCTGCAGTATTTAGTACAGATATACAGAGCACAACTTTTGCTGGCTATATTGGTTGTGGTGTTTTATTTAAATTATAAGCCAGCATTGATTACATTATGTCTAGTGTATCTTTCTATAAACAATATTGCTATGAACAAGCTTGACACTTCTTTATGTATATCTGTGGCTGTTTTGTTAAAGGATACACTCATGCATATGGTATTGCTTAGACAAAAATATGCTACTTCTTTAAGCTCTTGATACTCGTTTCCCAATCGCACTCCATGATGATATGGCAGCCATGTTAGTTGTTTCCTCTGCTCCCCGTTAGATGCTTGTTTGTGGATGTCTGCATCTCACTTTCCATCATCTCTACAAATGCTCTCTATCATGGATTCTTTTGTCACTTAAGTATTAAGTACCAACCATTGACCTGGCACACTTTAGGCATCAGAATACGTGGTGATGTGAACTGACTAAATTCTTGCCCTCAGGGATTTTAGTTTGTCTTTTCTCAGTTCATCATACATTCCTTAACAATTCCCAAGCAAGAATGGTAGTAATTGTCCTAAATATTGTCTCATAACATCTAATAACCATGTCCTGACTTGTTATACTGTGAGTTTGTTCTGACTCTCACCCCCGGACTCCTGCCTAAACTAATTTCACACCTAAACCTCACCTGCACCCCAGCAATAACCATCCCGACCCGCCAGACTCAATTTCTCTAAACCATGATCCATTCTTTGACACACTTCTAGTCTTGCCATTCAAACCTCAAATAGTATCCACAAGAGACCTTTTAAAATGTTTCCAAATGCAAGGCAGAGTTCAGGTCTTCATCTGGCTATGAGGGTTAAACTCTCCCAACTGAGTTTAGGGGTTTCAGTTCTCTGGGAAGGGAAAAACAGGTGTCTTTCCCACAAAAGGCCATTTATCCAAAATATCCTTGCATTCAGGACAAAGGAGAAAATAAACACAGGTCTAAGTCAGGTCAGCTCCACAGTGTTTCAAAGACAAATCCAGCAGCCCCCTTCTGAGACATGTCCGGACTTACCCAAGCTTGAGCAAATACAACCAAAGCTGATAAGACTAAATCTCAGTCAATAAAAAGGATACTAATATAACTGCTGCTTGCTTAACCAGTTATACATGAGATTACCTAACTGTCCCTGAAACTCCCCTTATCAGTGCTTAAAAGGAGCTTACATGCTCCTCTCGGGGTTGTCATTTTGTACAAGTGAATAACCCTACATATGCTGCTATAATAAACCCTTTTTACTTTTACATACTATTTGAGTCTTACTATCTGAGTCAGACCCTTTCAGATAACTATGTCTCTTATCACTATACTTTACAATTAACTTGAGCTTTCAGAATATCTTTTCCTGAGGATTTTTCCTCAGCTCAATTTATATATGTGTTTAACATATATACAGAATGATCATCAGTCTAACGGGCAGCTCAAGGTGTCCCTCACAGCAGGTACAAAAATGTACTCACACTGGTTGAAAGCCTAAGGATAATAGCAAAAATATGAAATACTTAGAAGAAAACAGAGGAAAATGGCTTTGGTCATATCAATGATTTTGTGGCGGTGACACCAAGAACATGGCCAGAAAGAAAAATATAGATGAATTAGACTACATTAAAATTTAAAAATTCTAGCATCAAAGAGCACAAACAATAAACCAGGGGCAACCCATAGGATAAGAGAACATATGTGTAAATCATTTCTCTCTTAAGGAGTTAATGACTAGATAAAGACCCACCTCTCTCACACACACAGTAACCATTTTAGCAAATACGTGAAGAAATGGCCTAGAAGTGATGGTACTGATATATGCCTGTAATCTCAGAACTTGAAAGGAAGAGGCAGGAGGATCATCATGAGTTTAAAGATGTAATGTCAAAAAGAAAGAAAGAGAGAAAGGAAGGAAGGAAGTTGAGGAAATACTTAAAGTCACCAGTCACTAGAAAAATACAAATAAATCAAAACCACAAGATAATTCTCAGTCATTAGGTTTGCTGTTTTTTGTTTTTTGCTTTTCTTTTGTTTTGTTTTTAGAGACAGGGTTTCTCTGTGTAGCTTTGGAGCCTATCCTGGCACTCGCACTGTAGATCAGGAGACTGGCCTCGAACTCACAGAGATCTGCCTGCCTCTGCCTCGCAAGTGCTAGAATTAAAAGCGTGTTCCACCACCGTCCAGTGGCTGTTATTTTTAAACACATAGAATGTAATAAGTATTTGTATGTGGAAAAATTTAAATCTTCGTGCCTTATTACTAGGAAGGTAAAATATTATAGCAACTTTAAAAAATGTTGAAGTTCCTAAAAAAAAAAAAAAAAAAAAAAAACCACATTAATTTTAGAGTTATTCTTTCTTCTACTGAATCCTCCTTGCAAGATCCCCTTCTCCCACATCATCTTCATTCCCTGAGAACTCCATCTCTTGGTACCCACCCTGTCCCCTTAGAACTTTCTGTGGTCTGTTCCAGCCTTTCCTCTTAGACTGTTTATCACCCACTGACCTGCGAAAACTATCTATCAGGGACCATAGCCACCACACTTGCCTGGGATACAGAAAGAGCAACAGCAACCAAAGAATGGAACACCCCCACAACAAAGACAAGACCAATATCAACACCAAGAAACACCTCAAAATGTAATACTTCTAGATGCCTAGATCCCTGCACAAAAACGCAAAAACTATTCCTCCATTAGAAGTCAGTAACCTTATTGCAATAGGTTCTGAGAAATGTAGTATAGCTCAAGCAGAAGCCAAGGACTTCAAAATAGAAATTATTAACATGATCAAGAGCCTTAGATAGGATATAAATAAATCCCTCAATGAAGTTCATGAAAACACAAACAAAGAGGGGAATGAAATAATGAAAACAACTTAAGACATAAAAGTAGTATTTGACAAAGAAATAGAATCACGGGGGAAAAACTCAACTGAAATAAAACTGGAATGAAAAACTTAAGATGTCCAACAAAAACTTCAGAGGTAAGCATCACCAACAGAGTGCAAGACATGAAAGAGAGTATTTTGGCTATTAAAGACAAGGTAGAAGAAACAGACAGCTCAGCCAAAGAAAATGTTAAATCTAAAAACATCCAGACACAAATCATCCAGGAAGGCTGGTTCATTATGCAAAGACCAAATTTATGGATAAGAGAATAACAGGGGGAGAGGAGGGAAAATAAACCCATGTCAAAAGCACAGGAAATATATTTAACAAAATCATAGAAGAGAATTTCTCTAATCTAATGAAAGATGTGCCTATCAATGTACAAGAAGTATACAGAACACCAAATAGATAGGACAAGAAAAGAAATTTGCCATGACATATAATAATCAAAACAACAAATGTACAAAACAGATAAAGAATATTAAAAGTTGAAAGGGAAAAATACTAAGTAGCATTTAAAGGCAGGCCCATTAAAATAAAAACCAATTTCTCAATGGAGACTCTGAAAGCCACAAGGGACTGTTCTACAAACTCTGAGAGACCATAGATGGCAGCCCAGACTACTATACCCAGCAAAACTATCAATCTCAGTAGACAGATAAAGAAAAAATTCTATAATAAAGCCAAATTTATACAATTTCTATCTACAAATTCATAGCATTAAGTGCATACTTCAAAAAATCAGAGAGAACTCCGGCTAGGGAGATGGCTCAGGGATGAAGAGCATTGGCTGCTCTTCCAGAAGACCTGGGTTCAATTCTCAGCACTTACATTGCAACTTACAGCTATCTGTAACTTCAGTTCCAGGGGATCTGACACTTTCATACCAATGTACATAAAATAGTTAAATAAAAAATTGGAGAGATCTCATATTACTAACTTAGTGATGCATCTGAAAGCTCCAGAACAAGAAGAAACAACACACAAATAGTAGATGCAAAAAACCGAAACCAAAAAACAAACAAAAAACCAAATTCAGAACTGAAGCCAATGGAATAGAAACAGTTAAAAATAGAAAAAATTAAATAAAGACTTGGTCCTTTGTGGAAAAAAAAAGACAAGATTGACAAGCCTTTATCCAAATTAAATAAAAGACAGAGAAAAAAGCTCCAAATTAACAAAATTAGATGCAAAAAGAAGGAACTATAATAGACATTGAGGAAATTCAGAGAATCATAATGACATATTTTAAAATCTGTATTCCACCTAGAAATGGACAAATCTTTTTAGATATGTGACCTACCAAAATCAAAACAAGATCAAATACGCAATTTAAAAGTCTGTGAATTAAGCCCTAGTGAAAAAGAAGCAGCCACTACAAGTCTCCCAACAACAACAAAAGCACAGGGCTAGATGGATTCATGGATCTATGAGATCATCACAGAAGAATTAACACCAATACCCCTCAAATTATTCCACAAAATAGAAACTGAAGGAACATTTTTATTAATTCTTTTTGCAAGGTCACTAATACCTAAAAGCAAAGCCTCACAAAGAGTCAACATATATTATGGGCTAATTTCCCTTAAGAATATAGATGCAAATTTTCTTAATAAAACACTTGCAGATTAAACCCCTAAACATGTCAAAAATATATCTACCATGATCAAGTTGGTTTCATCCCAGAGATGCAGGGATGATTCAACATGTACAAATCAATAAATGTAACTCACCATATAACATACTGAAAAGCAAAAACCACATTATAATCTGATTCAACACAGAAAAGGCCTTTGAAAAAATCCAACATCCTTTAATGATAAAAGTCCTGGAGAGACTAGGGATCCAAGGGACATACTTCAACATAATAAAGGCAGTTTATAGCAAGTTCACGGCCAGCATCAACTTAAACAGAAACTCAAAGCATATAGTGTTGGAATTTATATGTATTTCTATATAGTATGCTTATAGGTATATATAGTCTTTTTATGTCTAAACCAGAAATGATTGAAGATATAAAATGTTACTTACTGATCAGGCCAAGTAAAAATATCAGAAAATAAAAAAACAAACAGAGAAACAAAAAGACCTTGTTCTCAATGTAGTCCCTTTGCTGGCTTGGGGGAAGTTGAAAAGCTGCCCTCCCATTCTTGCTGCTCTAACAGGCAGAAGGGAAAGGCATGGGCTCTAACCTCGGAGCTTGAGTGTTGGCTGGCTCTTCCATGCTTTAGGCATCATTTCTCTCCGTGTCTTCAAGACAAATTGACTGTTAATGAACTTGCAGATGCTGGAGATGCTGAAGGTAACTTGAGGGTGGACAATGGAGAAATACTCATTCATGCCAAACTTCTGGGTTAGGAGTCCGGGGACATACTTCTGAATATTCACTCCAGCTTGCTTGACCCTTAGCTATCCACAGAGAACACAAGGCTGTCTGGGGATCAGAAAGCAACTTGCACCATTGACTTCCCTTTAGATATGACATTTGGGCTTTGCTTTGTGACACACTAGGGAGAAGGAGGGTCAGTAATGGAGTAAACATAACAAAACTATTATTTTCTTAAATAGTCAAATCTGCAGCTGATGTCGGAAGAGGAATGAAATAGCACGGGGCTACCCAAAAGCATATTCTGACTGCCAAGAGGCATTAAGGCTCTCAACATGGCCACTAGTCACTCTGTGCTATCTCTCTCCATCCCTCACATCACCCCTGCCCCTGTCACAAACTAGCAAAATTCTGGACCTGTCACCAGTTCATCCTGGGATTGGGGCAATGTTTCTCTGCTCTCTCCAGACAATGCAAAGATGGAGAATGAAATGGGAACCTTAACATCCCATGTCTGATCCCAGTACAGTGTCCGGGAGCCTTTCTAACCGTAAGAACTCAGGTAAGCTACAGAAATCAACTTCACGTACCATTCCATTTGTTATTCTATACCCAAAAGCTGAAAGGGAAGGGAGGAGTTAGAGCAGATTGGGTTGGAAACAGTGGCATGAGTAGCAATAATGCTGTGGCATTGGGAAAATGTTGGCATTCATTGGCTTGTAATTCTGTTTCCACTTATGGTTGTTTATTTACTGTCATGATGCTGTCACATCTCTGAAGGCAGATACTATACTCAGGTTATAGAGTTCATGCTGAGCAGTCAGCTGCCAGGTGACATGTATATGAATTCCAGTAAACACGAGAGGAAATTATAATGGCTGACCATTTTAACAGATATTTGTGTCTAAATTCATCTTGCCTCTGTGCCCTTTAAGTGAATAAGAAAAATCAACTCAGTTCACATGTCCGTGTCATCTCTATCTACATCTGTTTTTGTTTTTGAGGTGTTTCTCTATGCTGCTCAGGCTGACCTTGAACTTAACTCTTGCCTCAGCCTCCTGAGTGCTGTGATTATAGATGTGTGCCATCGTACCCAAGCTCCAGCTGAAAGTTATTTTATCCTGGGAAACCGACAGCAATCAAATTTAAATGGTGGTGCTCACAGCCCCCGCCCCCACAGAACACAGCAGGGAGTGCTACTAAGATGCAGGAAGTGAAACAGGATGGGGTTGAGAATGAGCTGTGCCTGCAGTGGTTAGCAGGTCACATGTAGGACCATGGCTACAGGGTGTATTCCAATGCCCCTTTCTGGAGTGAAGTTTGAAGTCTTCCTCTAGCCTTTCTTTCTGATCATAAACTTTCCCATTTATTCACTTCCTTCCCATTTATTCAACTTCCTTGCTATATTTACCCAAAGACAAGCATGCGTTTCAGAAGAGTCTAGAACATGAAATGAAGTCAGTGGACCCTCCAGGGCAAAGTCTAGTCTCTTAAGCCCCGGGGACTCAGGGATCTAAATCCTTACCAAGCAAAACGAATTGAGCTCCCTATCCCCGTCTTAGCCCCAAGCCAAAGCTTCTGAGGGAACGGAGCTCTTACTGTTTCATCAAAAACAAGGTGGAAAGGAAATGCATTGCAGAACACCTCCTCTTGAACCCATAGTCTCTCTGGATAGACAGGCTGGAATGTGTTCCTGAGGGGCCCTAGACACACAGAAAGAAAGCCCTAGTGAGAGGCCCTCACAGAGCCACTTAGACAGGGTTAGAATCTTAAGTGTGTCACAAGCAAAGTGTGATTCCCACTCCTTAACACAGGCTCTCTCAGCATCTCCAGATGGCCACAGCAATTATCCTCCAAATTAAAACAAACAGAAAATTTGTGACCAGGTTGAGAAGCCCTCCTGCCCCCTGCCAAGTTTCTGCCCGCTGCTGAAGAGTTAGTTTCTGGGCCAATTGAGTATGTCTCACCATGAAAACAGAACTGGCATTGAAATGGTGACAAGCAGACAATGAGCCAGCAGAGGAGTGAGTGTGTGCCCAGCCCGGCATCAGGGACATTTGCCATGGAGCTTTTTAGACTGACAGTTTAGGGTGGCATGTGAAAATTTAACCAACAGTCTATTTGGCAGGGGGTGCAGATCCTCAATGGAGCCTTTTTGATATGAAAATCTCCCGGACAAAGGATGTCAATTGTGTTTGCCACAGCTTGAAGGACTCAGAATGCAGCTCTTTGAGCCCTGCAGACCCTCTCCCAAATGCCTGTCATTTGACCTACCAGGCCATGACAAGGAGCATCTAGCTCCCTTCTTCCACTGGGTCAGGGCTCTGACTCCCATCTGAGTGTCAGGTGCTGGGAGCCAGACTAACTCAGTACCCAAAGACCCAATGTGTTGAGTCTTGTGAATGGAAAGCTGAACAGCATTGTCCCATGTCACAGCTCCTCAAGGACAGAGACAGAAATGTACTTTCTTGATTCTTGCCCTCTGCTGGCTGGCTGTGGTTAACCACAGATTACCAGTCCAGAAACACACCCCAGTAAACAAGGCCTGGGTCCAGAAGGGATGAAGAATTCACTGTGCCTGGGACATCTGTGCCCAGCCTCCTCTTCACGGTCACCTCCTGGGACTGAGTCCAAGACAGTGGCTTTCCTGATTACAGAGATGATGGCGTCTCCATGCTACCCAGCACCAACAAAAGAACTGCTGTATGACAAGTTAGAGACCGATTTTTAAAGTTAAAAACCACAAATGCCAAATCCAAGCTCCAAGGGAATCAAAGGCCTCTAAATCATAGGGAGCTTTGCCCTATTTGTGTATCAGGGCTCTTCCCCTGCCAGCAGGGCAGTTGTTCTTATCTAAAAGCTGGGTCCAGGAGAACATCACACTTACCTTTCCCAAACATAACTGATGCCCTCACATCCCAGTGAGATTTCCCCCCAGGGCAAACAGAGCTGCTCAAGTCTTGCTCCTTCATCCTAAGGAGCGTTGTCTTGAGAGCCTACAGAGGGACAGGAAAGGAAACACAGGCACCTGGTCACAGGACTGGAGAAGAACAAGCCCTGACAGCTGTTGCTGGCCCCATATTTGTGTACTGACGAGTGTTGGTGGCCTGAGGGACAGTGTGCAGGCTTGCAAGATCAATTCTATCAAGAGCCTGGAGCTCCAAGGTGTACCTGTTAGTTAATCCTCAAGCCATTTCTCTATCAAAGGAAGCAAGATATTTTTACAAGATCTCTGGGGAATGCTTAGAGGGTCGTGATTTCCTAAGTGTTTGAGACTAAAAATACAGTGAAAGCAGGCAGAGGGATGCTCACCACAGTGTCCCTTTATGCAGCAAAAGAATTGTAGCAACCAAAGAGGCACAGCCGTGGGCTAGTTAACTATGACAAGAAATGTTTCCCAGGGGGAGATGTGATCACACAGAATGAGCAGCCGCTTGAGACAGGAGATGGCTCTCCCTAGTCAATAAATGCACGGCTCTTGTGAGCTGATCACACAGCACACATAACCCTCCCCTAGACTGGTGAGTCACTCTCAGCTTGCGCCAAGGGATTGTGCAGAGGGTTATAGACTCCTTACTGTTTCAGATTGGTTGATGCATTTAAAAATGACCAGGCCCAATAAAGATAATCCCAGCATCCATCCAGTTCCCACCATAAGATCTAGTAGGCAGGCATCCTGTCAGTACTTCTCTCATGGAGCCCCTCCACAATTGGAGGGGCTCTTTCTCATGTTTCGTCAATAAACCCGTGTTCATTCTGTTTTCCCCTTATCCCAGTTTCCGTCTTCTCGGATGTGAGATAACAAACTCAGAAGCTACTGGTTTATTGGTGGCTGTCATTCATCTGTGATCCTAAGCAAGCGCACCAAAAATAAAGAAAATCTCTATCACGTTTAAAGAACCCACAGCATGCTTCCTAGGGTTGGATACTCTTGTGAGTGGGCCCTGAAAAGCTTTGCACATTCTAAGACACAACTCCAGCAATCACCATCCTAACTGTGTGTTTGAACAGTCTACATGGATTCAGAGAGATTTTAATCTAACACGTGTGGCATCTAAACTGCCAATGATCACCTAATGTGTGGCAGCTGTGGTGGTCAAGGATGGGCTCTTGATTGCACACTGAAACTATAACTGGTTCCACCTGCTAAGTGGGCGCTAAGGTCCTAAAAAGTTCACTCATTGCAAGAGGATTGCAAAGGAAGGTACCAAATTCCAACTTCAAATTCTTTGTCTTAGTTTGTTGTTGTTGTTGAGGTTTTAAGAGAGGGTTCTTATTCTTCATCCCAGACTGGCCCCAAACTCATAGCAATCCTCCTGCCTCAGTATCCCTATATCCAACTTTAACAATTTTATATGTGAACATTTCTACAGGTTAAGGCCCAACCTAGAAAGTCTACATTAATTTAACATTGATTTCTGGCTCTCACTAGAAGTGATTTTTACTCCCACCTCTAGTCTAGGGACATTGGTGATGCTTGGAAACAATTTTGATTGCCACAACTAAAGGGCAAGGTTCTAGTCACATTGGATAGATAGAGATGTGTGGTGTGGTGAAGGATCCTACAAAGTGCAGTCCATCACAACCCAGAATAATCTGGTCAATGGTGTCAATAAGACCAGGCCTGGGAAAGCTTGCCTTCAATTTCACTGCTCAAGGACCAATTATTTGTGTTGTTTGCATGGACTGTTCCAGAACAGGTAGCCTGTCCTGGGGAAACTATGCTCTCTGAAGACACAGCAAATCCAGTACCTCTTCATCTGTCTGAATGTCCTTAGTGTCCAGTGGCCTGTTTGCCTTTGTCCTTCTCATCTGTCTGCGAGCCTTCTGCACAACCAGAAACACGACGTGTTCTTTTTTCCCTGTCCTCTCCACCTCTTCATTCATGTCAAGGATACTCATGGCCACATCAGTGTCAAAAAAGTCCTTGGCCACAGCTTCAATGATACCTGCAGCAGAATGACACCTGCGGGTGAGGAATAGCAGAAGGCAGCACACTGCCAAGCATCACTAACACACCCAGTTGTACAACTTCGTGGTTTTTCTTCAGTTCACTACACCCGTGTCTCGCCTCATGATAGGCATCCTATGATGGCTCAGGGGGAGGAGTATGCACAAATTTAAGTTTTGAGGGTCTGAATGCTAAATGTGTCCCTGTCATATAGTTTCTGCTTCAACATTTATTCATGTTTTCATTCCAGGAAGACATCTAACTTATTAGACAAACTCTGTAAGTGGAAGAAAAATTCACTGGAAATACATTAAAGCTCATGTGTTCAAAGCTATTGTTCTGGGAATCTTCCTGGGAGTGAAATATGCAATATGAAGAAAGCAAACATGAAGCTGCCCACCACAGTATCTCCATTAGCAAAGGGTCAGCAACAGCTACCGACTCAGCGGTGGGGGCGGTTAAGGGGAGAATGGCATGAAACAGCCACCTGCCGATGCTGGGTTTTAGGGCAGGAGATGTACTTCCATGGAGGAGTGTGTGCCCTTCGAGTACAGGAGGCCCCGGGTGCAAAGTAAAACAACAAAAGCAGACTAAATACCAAGACTTTTCTACATCGCTGAATTCTTTAAAAGATTCAATAGATACAAAATCTGCACAGAATTATCACAGCTATGCCAACAACTGTGCAGAGTGGTAAAGATCATACCTTCTTCTGGTATTCGGGAAATTATTCTAAAAATCTCCAGATCCTCAAGGTAATGGCAAAGAAGCTGGGCACTATAAGATGGCGTGCCCGCCTCACAGCGGGTGTCTAGCCACCCGAGAGAGCTCTGGGATGGGCTGATCCCTTTCCTACCTGGTACAATGTGGCACAGGCCGCTTCTGTCCGAGTAGTAATGGAGAAGCATTGCCCCGTCAGCTCCTCCCTCTACGCGAAAGGATGGTGCGTTCATTTCCTAACGAATAGACAAAGCACATTTCCCCAACAGGGAAAACGCATTGTTTATGTTATGATTTTATAGGCTCATAATCATTTTTATTTTTCTAGGTTAACATACAAAAGAATGAGTTTAACCATAGCATCTTTATATACCATGTTTTATTCTTATTCAGTCCCCTCCCAGACTGGCCCTACACTCCCTTCAGCTGGCTCCCTTTCTACCTCATTTATACCCTTAATTAATTGTTACATGTAGTCCATCAGCTCGACTTCCCACCTCCCTTAAGATCTCTTGTTCCTCTCATGATCCCCTTTCTAGCCCGTGATGCTGACACATATACACATTAATATATGTGTGTGTGTGTGCATGTGCACACATACATAATTTAAAATTATTTGTTACTAACGTTTGCTTTACGTGTATGAGTGGTTTTTTTTGTTTTTTGTTTGTTTGTTTGTTTGTTTTTGTGTGTGTGTGTGCACCACATGTGTGCCTGGTGCCTGTGGAGGTCAGAAAGGGTATTTGATCCTCTGGAATTAGAGTTACAGATGGTTGTGAGCTGCCATGTCAGTGCAGGGAAGTGAGCCCAGATCCTCTGAAAGAGCAGTATGCTTCCTTAATCACTGTGACATCTCTCCAGCCCCTCCTCGTAAATTTTATTTTTGAGGCAGAGTCTCACTGTGTAACCAAGGCTGGTCAAGTATTCATGGTATAGATCAGGCTGATCTCAAACTCACAGAAATCCTCCTACCTCTGCCTCTTGAACGCTGAGATTAAAGAAGCACACCACCACACATGGTCTGTATGTGTGTAATTTTAAATCCAAGTATACAAATGGGAGAAAACACATAGTATTTGTCTTTCTGAGTCTGGCTTATTTCACTTAACATAATCATTTCCAGTTGCATTCATTTTCCTAAAAATGTCATGATGTTATTTTTCTATACAGCTGCAAAAAACTCAGCTGTATATATGTACCTACTTTCTTTGTCCATTGATGGGCATCTAGGCTGGTTCCATGTCTTGACTGTTTGCATAGTACAACAATAAACATGGATATGTAAATATCTCTCTAGATGATTTAGAGTCCTGGGGTATATGCTCAAGAATGATTTAGCTGTGTCATAAACTACTATTTTTTTTGTTTGGGGCCATTGTTTTATTAATACTGATAATAATCGTAGGTTATAATTTGAGAATAGAAAATCACAACTAGACACTAGGGAAATGGCACAGTTGGTAAAATAGCCACCATGCCAAAACAAGACCCTATGTAACGAAATCATTCAGAGCCAGAGCCAGGCAAATCCCTGGGATTTTCTGGCCTGCCAGCATAGCCTACTAGAAAAGTTCCAGGCCAATAGAAAACTCCATCTCAAATAAACAAACAAACAAACAAATATAGGAGACCCCAAATTATATGGCACTTGAGGAACAATAGCCAAATGTCTACTCTACAATCCATTTTTATGTGCACTTTTACACATATGTGAACCTACACACACACACACAAACCCACACACACACACACACACACACACACACACACACACACACACACACACAATCATGACCCACATAAACTACTATTTTTAAAGTGGTGTGAAGCAATAGTATGTACCCATTAGCACACACAGAACAATAGTATGCATCCTTTACTATACACACAGAACTACAACAGTATTTATACAGTCACACACATAGAACTATGTCCCCATCATCTCTCCAGTCACATAACACCACCATTTCAGCTCCTGTTGAGGAAGCATACCCTGTCCCCTGGCCCCTCCTATTCCATTTGGCAACTGGGCCTCACCCAGGCAAGTTAAATGGGAGATTAATGAGAAAATTATTGCTAAGCCTCCATGATCCTTAGCACCATGCCATGCTGCTCTTATATACCCTCAAGGGTTGTTTGTCACCATACTTGGCCTATGACCAAGCCATGTGAGCCTTTTCACTTGGGAAGACTAGTGGCTCAGAGACCTCACAACTGGAAATAATCAACTCATTTTTGTTCTGAGCGTTAGTTCCACTTGAAAACTAAAACCCTCAAGAACATACAAAAAGAAACATTATTTGTCCAGAAATAACTGTAGAAACTTCAGCACCAACACCACCCTCTTAGGATAGGTGAGGAAAAGGTCACTGGGAGGTTCTCTGAAGGAGTGAACGGGGCTGGGCAGGGGGTGGTCCCCTACTGCTTTTTCAGCAGCAATTCAGCACCCAAGACACTGGGCTTTGGTCTAAACTAGGGGAGAAGTCGAAGGCTCTCAGCAAAGGGACTACAGTCCTTCACTGTGCAGGGCTACTAGAGAAAATGGGTTTCTTCTTGAATTTCAAATACTTGTTTTTTATTTCTAAAAGTATATTGGTGTATGTAGATTATGTTTCCTCCCATATTGAAAGATTCCATCCTTCAGGGAAGCTTTTTAAGCCAGTAAGTAAACAACTCAAAATAGCTTTAGGAAGTTCCTGAAACTGACCAGACTCACTAGGCTCCTCCCTACCAGAGTAAGCCATAAAGATGGCTGAAGGTCATTCTCAGACAAGTCCTACTACAAAGAAGACTGTGTCCAGCCCAGCTGCCTGGAAGAGGTTTAGAATAACTGAGTCACTTGGGAGGGACATAATCCACCTTTTGAGGTTCCTGCAGTCTGTGCAGTGTGTTCCAGATTCCTAACCTTTGTGAGCTGTCACCCATGCTGGGGTGGGCTTTGGTGATGTGTCGGTCTGTGTGTTATTTCAGCTCCTATAAGAAACCCTGATAAAACTCATTGGTTCACCAAGTCGAACTTTGTTGGTACCCATGCTTTGTTCTGTCATGGGCTCCCAACCTGGGCTAAGTAGACATGTGTTGCATCTCCCCAGGAAAGGTTTTGCCACACAACAACAGTATATGTGATGTTGGTATGAATGTGTGTTTACATCTCTCTTTGTGTGTGTTATATGTGGTGTATGTATGTGCCCATGTGGGGTTAGGAGGATAGGGTCTAACTATTCACACCCTCCTAGGTGTACTTTGGTGAAGCAATTTGACCACTGTTGCCATGTAAGCTCTTATGATGTTGGAACTAGACATCTCAGTTGAACAGAGAGAAGGAAGTGCAAGGAGAAGTGATTGCTTACAAAATGCCTTTTATGTGTCTACTCTAACGCTACAGACCTTTATTTGCCTCTTTTGATCTACATATCACAGTGAGGTGGGATACTTGGTTTCTATTTTTGTCTGTGTCACATGCCTCTTTAAAAAGCGCTTACATCATAGGCACTCAAAAACTATTTAGGAGCTGATAACTCAATGAAAAAAAAAAAAAAAAAACCTTGCTGTGAAAGTATGAGGACCTGAGTTCAAATCCCTAAAATCCTCTTAAAACCAGGAGTGCTCTTGTTATAGTAATCCCAGGATTCCTATGGCAACATGAGAGGACAAGACAGGATAATCCAGGTCCAGCTAGCTGGCCTATGCAACTGTAAAGCACAAGAGGCCTTGTGTCAATCAAAATGGAAAGTGGGAACTGACACCTGAGGTTATCTGATCTCCACAGGCTGATGCCCCAGTGCATACACACAACACACAAAATACACACAAACACATACACACACACGCACACACACACACACACACACACACACACACACCACACATACAAACACATATAACACACACCCACACATACACATCTCTCTCTCTCTCTCTCTCTCTCTCTCACACACACACACACACACACACACACACACACACACACACACAATGCTTTTATACTGTCTTGATCTGGAAGACGAACAAAAGCATGTCCCCCTTTACCATCATAACAGTTGAGGGGGCACCTTAGTGAGCACAGTCCCATCGTATCCTTATGACCACCCTCCAAGAGTGCTTATGAATACAAAATATAGAAATTAATGAAAGATCTTGGTCAGTTATAAAGATCCATAAAAATACAATGTTTGAATCAACTAAGTGAGGCTCCTAGGGGCTCACAGAGACTGTCGTGACATTCACAGATCCTGTATGGGTCTGAGCTAGGTCCTTTGCATATATGTTATGGTTGTATAGTTTGGTGTTCTTGTGGGACTCCTAACAGTGGGAGTAGGAGAATCTCTGAGTCTTTTGCCTGCCCCAGGACCCTTTTCCTCTTACTGGATTACCTTGTCTAGCCTTGATATGAGGGTTTGTGCCTAGTCTTATTGTAACTTGTGATGCCATGTTCAGTGGATGTCCTTGGGAGGCCTGCTGTATTTTGAAGGAAAATGGAGGAAGAGTGGATCTGGAGGGGTGGGGAGAGGAAGGGAAGAGCTGGGAGGAGTGAAAGGAGGGGAAACTGGAGTTGGAATGTAATGTATGAGAGAATAAGTAAATAAACTGTTTTATACAGTTAATAAATTATTATTTATGCTATGGCTGAATAACACATCTTTACAATAAGGCATTTTGATGTATAATAAGAAAATCTAGGCATTTTAATTTTCAATAAACTCTATCAAGGCATGAACTCCAGAAGGACATACCCCAGTTGGGAATTTAGTTTTCTAACACCCCAGTCCATCACCCCAATGGGTTAATCAGTGTTGGATGGCTCCCAGTTCTGGCCCTGCCAAGCTTTTCCCTCTGATACTTGCACAGGCCTAATCTGGCTGCATACCCTATTATCAGCTCCACCCAGGCCAAGAGACCTGGAGAGTGAAAATCCACCCCAACCTGTTTTCCAGCCCTTGTTCCCATTGGGTTTGACTTCCCTGTTTCTTCCAAGTCTGTGTCCAACCTTCTGAAGTACCCCACCCCCAACCACAAGCCTAGAAGTCTGATTTTTTGTTGACCCATTTATAAAGGAAGCCAGTGGGTATTTATCCCCCTGTTGTCCTCCTAGAGAGCTACTGGGCCCACTAATGCCGGAGGCCATGAATTGTGCAGCTCCTCTGCTGGGGACTCCAGGGAGGGGTGGGGGTGGGGGGAGCTTTCTTTTTTTTTTTTTAACTTCTCAGGACCACGAAGACAAAGCCCAGATGGCCTTACCTGATAAGACAATGCCAGGTAACTGTGGAGGGCATCTAGGTTTTCAATAAACTCTGTGAGATTTCCTCCCAGTGTCCGCAGCATCCTGTCATAGCCAGACATCTTACAGAACTTGAAGAAGTATTCTCCAAAGAGCTTCAGAATGGCTTCCATGGATACATCTGTAGAATATGAACCCCAGTAAGATCCCTAGAAGGTGTTGTTATCCCGTGAGTAGTTTTTATCCATATCCGAAGGACTCAAGTCATGCTGCTGTGACAGTTATTGTCTAGTCTTTCACCGTCATATCAGTGACACATCAGGAATCACCTCAATGTCACAAGGCATCATAAAGAGCTAGGAGCAGTTCTGGTTAACCATGAGTCCCTCCCAAGCTCTCTCACTCTTTTCAGTAACATCTAAGACAGATCTTCCCAGTGATTGAAGAGAGAAGAACTGTAGAGCTGGTGGACTCCCTTGACCACTGATCCTGTGCCCAGATCCAGGTTAACTCAGGGCAGGGTGGAGCTCAGTCGCTCCCTCCAATCTCTCCCACCACCATGCACACCTTCACACAAGAGCCGGCTGTGGAATTGAAGGCTGACTCTCAGAACTAACACTGAAATGCAAAGTGATTTTGCCCAAAATTCACTCAAAAGATGAGAGCAGAAACCTGAGATGTTGACACCTTTCTCTCTCAGCTTCACCAGGTCTCTGTCTCCCTTCATGGTTGTTTTCATATGAAATGCTCCATAATGATTCCCCTGCCAATCTCCAGGCGAAACTAACTGTGCTCTCCCGTCATGCTGCATTTCCATCTTTCTAAAGATCAGGGAATTCGTGTAGGCAACAACTGAGTTCTACTTTGTTTGTTTGTTTGTTGCTAAATACAAACTAAGTGATGACAAATCCCTGAGGTAAATCTACAGTATGAGGTGGGGGCATGGCCCATGTCTTCCGTTTTCTCATCTGCATGGTGGGGACAGGGAGCATTTTTTAACTGTAGTCTGGAGGTCCTGCAATGTTTAATAATCAATTATTCTTCTCCAAGCATGCTATGATCTTGGAATAGGTGATCCTGTTAGTGTGTCTCTCATTGTCTAGGAGATCAATGCAACAAGCTAGAGGCCAGATTTGCTGCTGTGTCTCTTAATGAATTCCATGTCCTCTGTGCTACATCCCACAGCCAAACAAGGCGAAGGCTGCCCTCACTGTCATTGTGGACCTAAGATCTCATTGCCGTGGCCAGCCTGGAGCTCCCTGAGACCATTCTTCCACTTGGGGTAGAGCTCTGACTCCTGGTGGGGCTGAAGAAAGTCCCTGCAAGTCCTACCAGAGTCACAGTTCCTGACTGCATCCTTTAAAGACTGCTTCCCCCGATGGACCTGACGTCACAGTGAGAAGCTCTCTGCCCACCAAGCACTTCAGTACAGGGTACTACAGAGTGGCAGGCAGGCAAAGTGGTCCTTACTTCCAAGGCTCCTCTCATTTAAGATGACCAGGACAGTGAGGCCTTATGGTACAATCTTGTATGTAGCTATAAGATACTCAGGAATCTGAGGCAGGAGGATCACAAACTTCTGGCATGTCTGGGCTACAGATTCAATTCAAGGCTCGCCTGGACAATCTAGTGAGACCCTGTCTCAAATTGGAAAATAAAAAGAAGGATGGAGATACAGCTCAGTAGTAGGGAGTCACTTAACACACATGAGCCCCTAGACTCAATCTTTTTTTTATTGCAATATATTACATATTTATTCATGTTTATATTTTAAATTAATTTTTATTTAAATTAAAAACACTTATTTTCCATTATCTTTTTTTTATTTTATTAGTTCAAATTAGGAACAAGCTTGCTTCAGAT